ACTCTTTATTCGGTCATTGAGTAAAATTTCTATGTTGGAATTCCTTCGACCATTTCTTGAAATTTAATATTTCTTTTGTTAAAATATTTCCCATTAATTCCTGAATGAGTGGCAGACATATTTGTCAACTGTGTCCCAAACAATCCTCTATCACACTATCGCACCATATTATTTATTAATAATCCTACACAAATATATTGAATTCGTTTGCAAAACGCGTTTGTATATCCATCCATATACAACCCCATTAAAATGTAATAATAACGTCGTTAACGAAAAAGGAGAAGAAAAATAATAAAAATGAAAATAAAACTAAAAACTTGAAACTTGAAATTTTATGCATTAACAAATCTTTGGCTACATAGTGCGCGGTCGGTGTACTACTGCACTACACTACCGCTCTTGCTTGCAATAAACAACAACGACCATAAAGGTTTGTGCGCGATAAACAAAAAAAAAAAAAAAAAAAAAAAAAAAAGGGAAAAGGGAAAAGAAATAATTGGAAGCTTAAGTGTGATATTTTCTTTGGTTAAATGGAAATAAAGCCCTTTAGTAAATAGAACTTTTATTTGTATTTGTTTTTGTGTGTACAGAGTACGTTGATGAAGTGTAAATAAAACATAAAAGTGAGTGCAAATAAAACACCAAACACACATATGTAACTAAAAGATACATATATAAATGTATGCGTACGCACACATATTTATACTTAGGAGAATACATCGATATATATATATATATATATATATATGTATATTTATGTATATGCTACATATATATGATGTGACTGACTGACACTCACACTCCATTTATTATACAGACATATATATACATATATATATATATATATATGCGAAACATGTCAATAACACTTAGGATGAAAATACTGGGTAAACAAACATTCATAAAAACTTATGCATGTGTGCATATATGATAAAACAAATAGGAAGCAAAAGACAAGGAAGCAGTTAGTCAAGATATGTTACGCTGGCAGCCTGACATGATTTCACTGGTCAGAGCTTTTGTACTCAAAAAAAAAAAAAAAAGAAAAGAAAAGAAAAACGACAGAAAAACACAATTTTTTTCTTTTCTGTCTTTTATGATTTACTTTGGGGCGATGACTGGCCGCTTGTGTAAGACATAATGTAGTTGAGGTAAACTCGCGATCATAATAATTATTTTGAAATCTATTTTTATGCCCATTAATGCAGATTTAGAGAGGATGTGAATAAAAAATAGTTTTGTCTTGACTTCGTTAATACTCGGTAACATTCGGCAATTCGCACAATCGCACGCTCAGTATTTTATATCCAATCAAAGATGCTCGTCTAACCCTCGGTTCTTTATTAATTTTTGTTGTAAATCAAACTCAATTCCGAGTTCAATTAAATGGAATGTGGGAAAATCAAAGTAGGCGTGTGACACACTTATACCAAGTGAAAAATGTGAGAACTTAAGAAGAGGAAGAAGAAGAAGAAAATTTAAACTTTGTCTGGGTTATGTGCAAAGCATGGAAGCACGAATTTTGGAAGGAACAGTTGCCCGAGAGTTTCTAAAAAGAGAAGGATTGGTTGCAGAACGAAGCCGCTTGCTGCGTAATCTGCAATATGTGTTGTATGTCTACTTGAAATAAAGAGTATGAAAAATTTTCCTTAAGGCGTGTATTGCTCTCTCTAGCCCTTATCGCTTGTAATAGTCTGCCATAATGAAGTGATTTTACAACGCGGTTCGTTCAAAAGGCGAATTTCACATAAAGCGAAGCGAAAAGTGGGGTGGTTCTCCTATAATGTGTCTGCTTATAACACATTCTTGAAATCTTAATGCGGTAGGGTTTGCCCAAATATTTTTTCAGAGTCAATTCAATTGTGACAATCACGTCTCCTGTTCACGGGCTAAAATCTGAAGTGCGGTAAAGTTTACTTTGGTCATACCTACAGTGAGTGAGTGGTCAGTTACGGAAGTCATAACACTGTAGCGCCGAGTAGGGACACACCCACTAGCTGCAACCCACATCTCCCTTCTATCTCTTTTCTCTTTCTTTCTTTCTCTTTTCTTGTTTCTTTGTGATATATATATATATATATACATAGTCAATACATATATATGTTAAAGTCTACGTATATATCGTTTAAACTTAATATATTCCGCACTTTTGGTGCTGTAGAGTATAACAAACATTATCGAATATCGAACAACTTTGTTTCATAAAAAAAACCAAAGCAATTATGAAAATCATATTGGGAGAGACCCTTTATGTGCAGCTATGCATTAATATTTGCTACTAGTTGCCAATATCCACTGTTGATAGTTTGCAATGAAGAAACAAAAACTACTTCAGTTTTAAGGTCACAAGCAAGATAATCCCTTGACTATAAGGTCAGGCAATTAGTTCTATTGAAGTAATAAAACTACTACTATCATATTTCAGTTTTATGATAATAAACTGAATAAATATGTGCTGAAATGTGTTAAGAAAGTTCAACGTTTTGTTTATAAATACACACAAACATTTATTCGAAAAAAGTTTGGTCAGTTTACATGACATGTGAAAGCCGATAGAATATCAATGAGAAAGATAAGCTTGTGAAATACGATAGCAATTAAAGGTTAAGTGCTCGTGTAAAGACATGTATAATTTTCAAAAATGATATTCATTGCCGTACAGGCACGAACTGGTGACAGGATTTTAGCGCTTTCCAATGGTTTAAGGTATTCAAAGCATAAAACTCGTGGAACGCAAGTTTTCTTGAAGGCAAAAAAAAAAAAAAAAAAAAAAAAAAATTAACCCTTATCTTGCCCAATAAATTGTAACCATTACATCACCTCTGATTGTATTGGTTTGGAATACACGTGTGGATGGTTAGATCGATATATTTTGCAAAGGCCTAATAACTACAATGCTAGTTTCTTCTTCTGCAGACAAATAGCGAACCGAGGAAATAAGAGAGAGACAAAAAGTCTGAGGCCAGTTTACGGTTCTCGATATCGAATTTGCATTTTGTGTTGATGGTGCCTTCATTAACGAGAACTGAGTCGATAGCGTTATTTTGTTATAAACACACTGATCATATTATAAATATTCCATTGCATGTACAAGCAGCGAGCTCAACTCGATACGAGACTACCATCAATCCAAAATGCAACCGTGTCGTTTTAGTCTTTCATATCGTTCGATAGCTTGATAACGACAACCATAAACCGATCCCTGACTTATAGTGATCCTCAGTTTTATTCTTTCATTTTCTAAACTCAAAGGACTTGACGTAAAGACGTTGCGATACCTGGAGGCATATCGAAGTGTGAAGTATCCAATTAACTATAATATATTTTCCTCTCTCTACAGACAAATAACGAACAGCAAAGAGGGAAGAGCGTGGAAGAACGAACATTACAAATATTGAGCTGTGGCTGGCTTAGCTTTGCGTTACTTGCTAATGTGAGTGAATGAAAAAGATTGAAGAAAGAAGAAAGACCACAACAGTTTGAATGATTAAGACGACTTCATCGTGACGTCGCTTGTCCCATTTTCAATGCACTCTTCTACCTGCTGGTCACTTTGCTAATATTATTTCTGGGATAAATTTAAGAAATTAATCTTAAGCAGTTTTTAAGGATATGACTAAGACAAGAGCATCACTATAATTAGATCCTTATTCAGGCATCTCCGTTTCTTACTTTTTGTTACTTTCTTAAACGAAGGAAGAATTTTATATACAATATATCGCTCAATAAGTACGTAGGATCAGGGCCGCTGCTTTCATATTTCGTCATTCGAATGCACTCCATGTGTGTTCATGAATATTACACTATGTGTGTCCCAAAATACGAATGCTCTAACTTTCCCAATCAACCTTAACCGATCGCTCGGACAGTATTTACTAGTCGTGCAACACGGTGTGGTCCAGAAAGGGCAGGCAAAGAGAAGGGATGTTCTGGCAGCATTATACTACACCAACCAGTAAGTGTTGTGCCTTTACCGACTGAGACCATTCACTATAGCTGCGACGCTATTAAGCAACCCCACCGCACTGCACATTTGGACCCGCGAGTACTTACTTTTTAGACACGATTCTTACTTACTCGGCTACTTGTGCGTAACTTTTGCATTTTTGATTGCCTTGGACGGGTTTCGCCGCTTGATAACCACTCGTCTGAATGGTGATGATGAATCCATGTTTTATTCATTGTCACATATCACAGGGGGGAAATTCTTTTTATTTCGCCTAAACAGCAAAATGAGCAAATCCACTATCCAGTTCGAACAGGGCTTTTTCATGGAGTGTGCTCAGTCGAAGGAAACGGGTGGTTGTAGACTGGTTATTCCAATTGAAACACATCAGAAATAGTAATAAGAGATTATGTCTTGAATAGCGTAATATTTCACATTGACTTGGGTGGGCCATCGTCGCTGTGGAATTCACCCTCGGTAACGTTCAGAGCAGCCGAGCAGATAAGAACCATGGTCATCAAGTAATTGTCCGTGGGTTCAAAACTCAAGCGCGTTAGAGTTCGCTTTCATTTTAGCTATAATAAGTGCTCAGTCGATAAAAGCATAACACTTACCGATTTAGGCACACACTCACTGGGCCTTGGCCTTCATCTCTTCATATCATTCTTTTTCCTAACATCTTTTTGGCGTTACACGAATAGAGGACATTTTCTCAATGACGGACGAGTCATATAAAAAAAAAAAAAAAAAAAAAAAACTAATGGCCGGAATAAAACTTTGACATATTTCGCTCGAAAGATCGAGACTATCTAAAAATTATATGAACTCATCAATATCCGCAACATCTATATATTATCTTACGGACTTATTGAGCGATGTATTATCAAGTGTAGCAATGAAAAACAAAAACAAAAAAAAAAAATTAAAGAGGAAACTTGCACAGACAACTCTTGGAAACTTAATGATTGCTTATGTGCGATTATGGGTATATACCACAAAGAAAAAAAGAACAAAAAAAAAAGCGGAAACAATTTTGCTACATTTCACTCACCTGCAATTGCCAAATATGCATTTCTTGCAAAATATTCTCCATATTACTTTGACCCTTTGCCGTAGCTTTGGCTGTAGCCGTAACACTATCGAACCCTATATTATTGCCGCTTGTAGATGATGAACCCGATGTTGAAATTGCTGATGAAGGGTTATCAAGCGCTATTGATTGTGCATCTAAATGCGAATAGCAGGTGGTTGACGAGGTATTAAAAGGTGATATTTTTGCATTTGTTGTATTTGCTGTATTTGCTGATGTTGCAGTTCCCGCTGTGGATGTTGTTGTTTTTGCGGTATTAAAGAGATCATAAAGTTCCGTATTTGTTTTACCACAACTACGACACAATTCGACGTCATCATCGTTATTATCGAACAATAATGGAATAGAATTGTTTTTGTTATTGCGAGCAGATGTTGACGCCGTTGAGACTGGCATGCTAGTGGGCAACAGATATTCATTGTTCTTATTAACGTGCGTAGATGTCGTTGTAAATGTTGTTACTGTTATTCCGATACTGTCTGTAGATGAATATGTATCTGTTGTGGTTGCTGTTGTTTTTGTTGTTAATGATGATATCGAAGGGTTAGTCATTGTTGTTAATGGCTTAAGCAGATGTATTTTAAGAGGTAACTATGGTTTTTTGTCGATTTTCTTTCCTTTTTTGTTTTTTTTATTATGTTTGCAAGTCTCTGGCGAAGTTTGCTTCTCGGCCGCTTTTATAATAATAATAATAATAAAAAGAAGAAGAGATAAAATAAAAAAACTTGTTTATTCGCACTTTTTTTTTCCATTTAACACATTTGTAATGAATTTTCTTATATTTGTTTAGGCTCTATATTTTTTTTTTTCTTTTTGTTTTTTCTTTCTATTCATTCACTTTTTCTTGCTTTGCTTTATATTATTTTAGAAGATTTTTTCCATTTTTTTTTTTTGCTAAAACATATTTCACGCTTGTTCATGTTTACAAAGAATGAAAAAAACCGACATTCACATTTATGTTTTCTTATAAGAGCTCCCACACACACGCTCGCTTACAAGCTCTCTCATACACTACACTTTTATTTCTCGTGCATGCTTATTATTATTACTTTCAGACAGTCACGGTCATGTAAACAGATTTTTATACTTTTCTTATATTGTCCTCCGTAGAAAAAGAAATACAATGACGATGATGATGATAATGATAATGACGATGATGATGATGACAATAACAATAATAATGATAATAATAACAATGATGACGATTCGATTTTTTTCTCTTTTTTTTTTTTCTTCTTTTTTAGTTCCTTTTACCACTTGATAGTTTGTTGTGCGATATGGGAAGGCATTCATACACTTTTCATACATTTCATCATGGTGGCTGGTGCATTGCATGTGTGGGGTAATGTCTGCTTACTTATATAAGAATCTGTAATGAAAAAAAAATTAATAAGAGAGGTTAGGTAAGAAGTCAGCGCAAGAGAGAGTGAGAGAAAAATAAAGAAAGAAAAACGGAGAGAACTTGAAAAGAACTTTTATGTGCAAAGAGTTTCCCAAAATGAACTCATCTTTTAATAAAATAAATTATTACATTTTATAATTAATTATACAACAAAAAGTTGATAAAAAGTAAAGAGCACAAATAAGTATGAATATGAATTGATTAAACTAAGTAAACGTTTGATTTATTTTAATTTTTTTACTAATATTTTACAATCTTGCCGTATACGAGAGTTTTTAGAATCTGTACTATGCCACTTGTCGGGTAAGATATACGTATTTTGTGCAGACTTAGGTAACACGTAGAAGGATTTGGGAATACACCCATCATCCACTTACCACTTGTCTGTCAGTCTATCAAAAGACGATCGCTGTTAAAAATGATTCGGATCTGACCATGTTTTCGATCGTACAAGCCCTTATCTTCATAGCAAAAATCGCTTAATAATAGTATTTAAATTGGTGAAAAGACTTTCGATCGGATGGGGAAAATTTTTTGAACTTCTTGCCACATAGTCGTTCCGAAGGAAACTGATCCTTGCAAGGTAAAAAGACCTAATTTTCTTTGCTTCCTGATGAAAAGTCGTTCATAATAATAATTTGACATAAAAATTAACCATATAAAAGTTCTAACAAAAAATAAACCTTTGCATGGCAAAAGGGCCTGATTTTTAATCCTTTATCATAATAATTGCTGCTTAGAGTAAATTAACCGTAGGGAATTTGGATTACATAGGTCTATTTTTTAGACCACACCTTATATGAGGGCTCTCAAACAACCAAGCCCTTTAATGACGATAAAGTTTGTTATGAGAGATACATGATACATTCGAACTATGCAAACAATTGTAAGGACAATTAAAAAATTATGGTTTATAGTTGCCGGCAGCCGCCAAGCGAGGAGACGTCAAAATATTTTGGCCTTCGTTGGATAACATACCGCCCCATTAACTTCAAAGGATAAGTTTGTCGTATCCTAACAAAGTGCTTGATAATACGGTAAAATTTTTGAACAAAAATCGGCTCGACGTGGAAAGCAAGACCGCTTTTAAATAAACAAATGAAACCTCACTGTGGTGGTCCTGCACTTGGTGGAAGTGTTTAGTCAGCACGAAAAAAACTTTTCTAGGAGAACGAAAAATTTACTAAAGCGATTGTGGACGAAGCGAAGTTCTGGATGGGAGATCTGGGCATTTCCTATTCCTATTAGTATTTATTTTGACCGATGAGTGCAATCAGGCTAGTCGTGTAATAAAATAAGGCGTTCTAAGGGGAGTGTTCCGATCCGAAAAATTTTCAAGAGTGTTGGTCCGGTGTATCAAACTTCATGAAAATATCTTCAAAATTGGGATATGTAGATTCAACACTGGAAAGCAAGATATACGTACGGGCAGACAGATTAAGTCGATGCAGAATCGCTTCCGGTGTAATAAAAGATGCGCCTACCTCCCAAGCCCTCCTGGGTGTTACATACACAAGGATTTAATCGCTTAGTAATCTTGAAGCATAAAAGTCTCAAACTAATTCCACTTTGGGATACCCTGCATATGTAAAATAATTTTAGTGCGGCACCTTGCAATGTCAATTGCTTCTCATAACTTTGGTATGGAAAAACATCACAGGAGAGAGAGAGAGTGAGAGAGAGAGAAAGAGAGAGAGAGGCTTCAATGTTAAATTATGCATTAAATCTTCTTTCGTGGCTAGCAACAATTTTTTATCTTTCTTTCACATTTCAAAGGTATTATAAAGAGCTCTCAAATTCCAATTATGTGGCGGAATCTCTCTTCATAATGTGACTATTTTTTCTACGAAATTTTTCCTACAAAATGAGGAGTTTTTCTATCTTATTTATACCCTGGCTTCTGCAGCATTCATGTTCCTTTTGTAAAAGCAGAAGCAAAAAAAAAAAACAAAACGCGAGAAAACATAGTAAACAGTAACTGAGAACTTGAACAGGAAAGAAAGAGATACCATATACACAAGAGACTATTTTTTTGGTTTTACTTATTTTATTAAAATAAACACTAACAACAATAACAAGAAGAAGAAGAACAAGGGTTAAAACGTGGGCTATTGTTTGTCTTGTGTTTGCATCTCTTTATTTTTTTTTTTTTTTGTTGTTTCTTGACTTTACCGAGCATGAGTGTGCGTAAATTTAGAAACCTGCTACCACCACTTGTTGTTTGCTTTTTATGATTATATGCATATGTGTGTTTTTTTTTCTTTTTTCCTTCTGTATTTACTTTTACTTTAGAAAAAATACTTTTTCAAATATTTTCTTTTTATTCATCTTCTTCTTTTTCCGTACTATTTTGGCTACATAAATAGTTTTTGAGGCCAATGAATGGTTTGTGCCGTATGGTGTCTTAGTGAATATAAAATCATCTCACATCTACTCGATCTACTCATCATCTCATCACGTAGAGTAGCCAGTAATCCCATTGTATTGTATTATCTTTAAGCAAACAATGTATATGTATATATGCGGGGGTCTCGTACAAGTTTATTTATGCATGTCGTCATATACACTCGCTGTGGTATGTTTTATATAAAAAAAAAAGAGAAAAACATTTATGTATTATAGCGTTTTTATGAAGAGGTTCGGTTGAGAGACGAGATATTTTGTTTTGAAATAGCTTTAAACGCAAATAAAGCCAATAAATTTCAGGTCAATTAAAGCAACAAAGGAATGCAATTTGATAAATACCCGTCAGATTTTTGATGCGAAACTCTGGCAAGTATAAAAAACAAAGAAAGAAATTTCGCTATGGTTATCCTGTAACAGTAGGTCCGAAACGAAAACATTGATGTATTATCGACTGATATAAGTAATAACCGCTACATCAAGACTTAGACTTGACACGGCACAACCATACACTATCAAATATGTAAATATGAAACCGGAATTTGTCTGTAGATGGCCACATGTACATACACTATTTCATATTATTATTAGAAATATCAAAAAGAATCCGTATGTGTACATTGTGTAGAGGTAAAAAGGCACTACCAGATATGTAAATATGAAATTGGAATTTTTTCCCATAGATGACCTTAACACCACGTGGACATACACACTTGCACTTTATTATTACAGATACAAGGGAAAAGATATACGTATGCATTGTGCAGGGGAAGAATTGCACTACCAGATATGTACATATGTAACCGATATATGACCCTGATACTACGCATATAGGGCATACATATATATTTTGCATTAATATTAGAAGTATAAAGGAAAATACATATGCATGTAATGTATAATGAAATTACGAAAAATAATTAAAAAAAAGGAAAAACGGCAAAAGCTTTTTTGCCATACCAACATAATAATGAATTTTTATTTACGACCATATCTTAACAGTTTGACAATGACTTTTAAATAAAAGAAAATACTCTCGTTGCCGAGTAACGCAGAAAACAATGCGCTGAACAGGCGACAAAAAGAAGAAGAAGAAGCAGAAATACACATCAACGAAGTACGCTTGCACAAACCTAGCAGAGAGGAGTTTTAGTCGTTGAAATGACGCGACTACAGACGAACGGAGCCTTAAGACATTTTTAGTAATTAATTTTTATTTATTTATTTATTAATTTTTTCCTTTTTTTTACTTCTCTCTCTATTTAATTTATTTTCATAAATGCCTTTTTGGACATTATAATTAATATTAACATTTTGTATTATAAATATTTTTATTATATTTTTTTTTCGCAGAATGCTTGAGACATAATTCTCAGTTTACATTATATGTTTATGTTGGAAAATTAATTTCAAGCGTATAATTGAATTTTATCCTGAGAATTTTCGAGTATTTATATTTGATAAAAGAGAGATAGAGAAAAAGAGAGAGCGAGATGCCAAATTTCTAGGATCAAAGTATTCCTATCTAAATGCGTGCATACCACTTTATGTATGTATGGTTATCGAAGAGAAGAGGACATACCTGCTGATGCTTTTATTATTCTCGCGCAAGAACTCGAACATAGAGGAACCGCAAATGTGAACATTTTTAGAATCTTTAACTGCTTACCCAACAGAATATACAAAAAAAAAAAAAAAAAAAAAAAAAAAAAAAAACAAGACAAAAGAGCCACAACCGCTTTTTACTGCGCTATGGCATAAGATAAGTTATGTGCATATGTAGCAGACTTTGGTAATGTTCAAATAATCTTAGATTATAAAATAACAAGTAAGAAAAATTTATTCGGTCGTCACTGAATCTCTCATACCCATCACCGTTATCTTAAAAGAGCCAAAACGAGTAAAGGAAAGGAAATTTTCATGCTCTTTAATATGGAGTGGGCGCGGTTAGTTTTTTTTTATATTCAAAATAAAAGTTTTTGTGGCATAGACGTGTGGGCTTTTGTAGGCGTATCTTTGGAAAAGTTTTCAGTCACGTCCGAATTCTTTTGCATATTTTTAGGCGATATTTATCTGTATATTTCCGCTAACGGGAGAATAATTACCACAAATATTACAAAGTTGCGCAGACAAAAAGGTGGGACAGACGAACAGACAGACTTATTTAGGTGCATTCCAAATTTGGCTCTGTCCAAGAATTTATATATTTGAAAGGGGTTTTAAAGCTTACGTCTACGCCTTATAAAGGTATTGAAAAAAAAATTATATTTTGCTAAGCTATAATGTTAAGTAGACGTAGTCAAGTTTTTGCATTTACAGCATCGCCCATAGAATGTGCGTTTAAATCTTTGTATATTTATCTGCCGTAGCTTATAAGTAATGAGCCGACATGAATTTGTTATTGCTTTAAAAAAAAAGAGGTGTTCTCACTTTACGTGGTACCATGTAGCGTATCCTTTGACCGATTTGGTCAATTTTCAACACCAACTTGCATGCAAGATCTTCCAAAGTTTTCGCCAAATTTCAAGTTGATAGCTTCAGTTTTGCGGCTAGAAAATGTTTAC